TCGGACAGCGAGCATTTTGTAAATGCTATAACTCGGTCAAATTAAGTCCAAAGAGACTAAAAATTTTTTCATAACTCCACTTTTGATCGTTGAATCCAAAAATATTAAAAAAGATATATGTTAATTTTGACCATTCCACTGGCTTTGGAAGCAATGCTCGACTGACTAGTGAAGCCTCTCTTAATTATCCAAAATAGAAGATCATAAGTATATGAATTCCTATAACGCATTCGACAAATACATATTTGTCTACTCATGATGACAATGGCATTTTTAGTACTTATACTAAGTAAATCTAGATCAGCAGTAGTAGATTAGTTCTCAATTAGAACACCCAACGATACTTTTGTGACAGCAGTAGTCTATTTCATATTCAACACTGACCATAATGAGATTCCACATGCTCCATAAGATCGTATTGCCCTGTTACATGTACATGTCTGTTTTGCATCACTGCGCATTGTACAGTGTTCTGCAACAAAGGAAACAACATTTTTTCGTTCTGATTTAAGTACAATAAAACATTTACATAAACCAGACAGACGACCTGATTTTGATTGATCACGACTCATACCTGACTTTATATATCATATAAAGTCATAATATATCATGACTTCGATTTTGATTAGTATTCATTCAAGGCAGACATTGTGCTGTTGTTGTTGTCATGATATAACGCTTAAAGGAATATCAAGAATAGTTTTTCAGTGCTAGAAAAATATTTTAAAACAGATTTTTATCCCAAGAATTTTCCCTATAAAATGTGAATCCGCATACGATTTTCCATCGTTTTACCATGTATGGCATGTAAATTGATATTCTCTTCACGTGTAGTTTACGTTGTCCTTGAATCCTTTCTTTCGTTACTTCTCAAAATGAGAAAGAGTGAAAGAGAAAGAACGAAAGAAAGAAAGTACGATGAAATGTGAGTTTTTCACACGATTGTATCTGGGGTTCCTACCATTATAATACATCAATACTATACTGTTGTTCAGACAAATTTTAGCAGAACTGGCTCTCCCGATTACAGGATTACACAATATACGGATAGGTTAACAATGAGTCAATGACTGGGTTTTTTCTGAGTTGGATAATTCCATGCGTTGAGATGTGGTACGTCGGCAAAAAAATATTTTGTTTAGCAAAAAAAGCTGTGCAACTAAAGTTTGAAAGTTTTTGACGATCACATGAGAAAAGGATGAATTTGTTCGCAAAATTTACACTACTCTTCATTCGAAGTTTCTCCAGCGTGCTATTTTGATATATATATAAAGAGAAAGTCATCTGATTCGTCCTTGTGTCTGGATGCCCAGAAATATTTTCTAGAAATCTTTCAACTTCTTTTGGAAATACATTCATTCCGTTTACTGTATTTCTGCTCGTTTACTGATAAAACAAACTGTTTTACAAAAATATTCATTAGAGAATCCTTGTATTCGGCTTGTCCGCAGATAGCGCTATAACACATTTTCAGCGTCAATGTTTATTTCTGACAATTATGAGCAGAAATAAGAGTAAATATTATATTATTTTACACATCTTGACGACTTCTATAAGTGGTGTAAATGGCTTGAGGTACTGCTTATCATTTAAATGATTTAACATTTATACGGTCCGTAACATAATGACTAAAAGTGGAAGTTCGTTTTTGTGGCTATTGAAGATATATGATTTTCTCTGAATGTAGTCAATATTGATGTGAACGCCACGCAAAGAGTTTTGGATATAATTCAGGTCTGTTAAAATATCGAATCTACTGGTCGAAGGATCTGGTTGTTGATCTACAGATCAAAGCTACAGTAACAACAATAACGCCTTTGTCATTGCTTTTCTCTACCAACTTCAGTCATTCGTTACATACTGTAGTATTACTGATATTCGATTATGTAGACTTTTTACTTTCAATCATCTGTAGATTTATATAGTAATATGTTCATTCAAATTTTTTCATACATTATGAAGTACATGTGTGAATGAGCCACATTTATCATTTAAATAGTTGTTCTTTGCAATGTACACTTGTAAAAAACCAACCGGATGCGTCATCATGTTAGAAAGGTAGAGAACGAAAGAGAATGTGTGCTGTGTGATGAAACTACACTATAAGCTTGGACCACAACAAAACACAACATTTTGGCTATTCTTTTTAAAAATGACACTTTATTGAATAACACTATCAAACTTTGGTCATGCATGGAGCATCGTTAACCGGACAAGCTGGACTTCTATCAATCTCTGTGGTAAAAAATTTGGATGTTACAAGATTTGTTTTGTCGCGTTCTTTTTCTCTACGGGACAGTACGAACAAAATAAATATATGATTTTTTTCCTTTTCTGTGTTGGAAAAAAATCTAAAAAGTCAAGGAATAAACCCCATAGTTGACTCATTTCTTTCTCTCTTTTACATTATATATACGCTGGCATTAACGCTTTTCAAATCAAAGCTTCTTTATACACATTACTATCAAGACACTTAGATACATTTTCCGAAATATTTTTCAAAACTACAATGATTGAATCAGATTCACACAGCAACAAACTCTTTTGTCAAAAATTAATCGTGGAGCAAGTGCTTACATGTCGTGATGCCAGACCTCGTAGCTTACGTCGATCGCAATCATCGTTCGATAAACCCGACGAGAAAACATCAAAATCGAAAAGTGGTCGAAATGGGAAGTTGCGTCGCTATAAAAGTATGACGGTGAGAGATCATCATGACTCGGACAGTGGCATTGAAGATTCGCCCATCGAACAGCATGAAGAACAGTTCACGGCAATCATCGACGAAACAGACGTAGCAACAACATCGCGCTCAGAGTCAGAAGCATCCGATCAAGATGATGAATGTTTTGAATTTGCCGACGGGACATCGTCATCGTTGGTCATGACACCGAGACACTGTGTAACACCAGTGATGATGTCAGAAAGTTTAAACGATTTATCTGAATATGGTAAGTGTACTCTTGTCGTTAATGACAGTGAATTTTCGGTAGTTATCACAGAATACTTAGTTATTATAGCATCGATAAAAATCTATATCACCTAACCAGAGAAGCAAGCTAGAGGATGACAGACACAGAGGCAAAATAGGCTAACTTTTCCGTTTTTCTAAGGAATATGATCAATCTGTGATTTTTGTATTAGTATTTCTCTGCTCAAGAGATCTAATGAAGTCTTTTCTTATCAACCTCGCAGCAATGTAATGATTTCCTTTTTTATTTCAGTTGCTCTGGCCGCTAAAATTCCCGATAATCTGAAAAAAGATTTTTGTCCATCAACAGCCGAAGCATTTCATGCAGAGTTTGCCCGTTTGATCCTTGTTCCAACATTACAATTAGGTGCTAATTATCGGTTAATTCCGTACGAAGTAGTGCCAGTGGAACAATCAAATATTTGCTATGATTTCGTGAAAGTAAGTTGTCTCTTCGTCTTCCTTCAGAGTTGTGAATAATAATTTGTATTCATTTCAGCTCGACAATGCCAAAGCTCAATTCAAATGTTACTGCTGTGGTCATGCATGGACATCGATGCGCGCTCGTATCGCCTTTCATGTAACAAATCCATATACTGGAATTATTTTACTCCAAGTATTCGGACAACAATGTGCAAATTGTGAAAAGTTTGTGGAACCTTTATGGTACGTGGACGAAGTCTGCCATGTGGTCAAAAGTTTGGCAAAGGAAATATTTCGTGTATACTATCATGAATACTACGACCAACTCCTTCACTTTTCTGGTATCAATAATCATGACTGTCGTCAACGAAAAGGCACAATGAAGGCGACTCATCTTGAATCGCTATGCTCCGCTTGTCGCTTGGGCATTTGTTTTCCGAAAATTGTTCGACCAGAATATTGTATATGATAGAAACACTGATGAAATGAATTTAGTTTTAGTCTTCTTCGTTGTTTTTGTTGTTAATTCATCGTGTATATATCTATAATCTCTCTCTTCGAGTTTATCTCAAAAGCAACTTTGTGTGTCGTCTTTTCAAAAAAAAGTGCACTCTTCTGTATAAAATGTTTTTTACGTATCTATCAGATAACGATAAAAAGTGTTATTTATTGCTATTTAATTATTGTTGTTTTGTATGATCACGTGTTTTCTTCATCTATCTAACTGTTATTCTACTCTTTAACTGTGACATTCATTTTATTCATTAAAAAAAGTGTTTAGATGTTATTTTCCCCTAAAAAAAATTTGTTTCACCATTAAACGAAGGCCATTTGTTTGATCACCACAATTGTTCAGATTTGTTTAGCTAATTTGGGTGCTTCTATTGTTATTGCTTCCTTATTAGCAATTCTATGATGTCATTACACAAATATAAATACTTGATTTATTGTCATTCATATGTAAAAAAAAAACATACTCTTTTTCTTTTCTTCATTTAAAATCATATGGAATTTCGATCCTCTTTCTCTCTATAAGCTCAAACAATTCGTGTGTCATTGAGAAAATAAAGATGAAAAATGAAATTCAGTGAAATTTTAGTTTTTCTAGTGAAAAGTAGAATCGGTTTTCGTATTCAAATCTGGAATATGACTAGGTAAAAATGAAATTGATGTAATACAAGTAGATTTCTAGTTATATAGATAAAATAAACCTTTTTGCAAAGAAAAATCATTGGAAGTCATTACTTTATTTTGTAACACGCATCACTCTCTATCGTTCCTCTCTATGTCATATTCACCGCTACACAAAAATTTCTGTTGAACAGACTAATAGTGTTATACAACATAATAACAATAACATAATGTAACATAGCATGAAAAATTCCTTTCTGCACAGCTCAACAAGACATCGAACGCGTTATTACTCCAGATGCAATGCAGAAAGGACGATAAACTATATTATTAAGAACACGAATACCGCACTAAAATTCCGGTATGAACGCTTATAGTCATGGAATTCACGGGAGACGGTTCCTTGCTGATACCCTCCGATTTCGATGATCTTTTGCCGATAGATACTATATGATGTCCTAGTCTTAACCTCCAAAGAATTTGGTTGTATAGTTCTTCTTTCAAAAGTTATGGATCTTTTAAGACTGGTCACTGGACATTCTAATTCATCATTGTATAATTTTCAAAACTCGTCCACCTGTGTGCTGGCCAGCCAAACTCTTTTTAAACACCTATTCATATAGAGAACAGTTAACGAGGTTTTTCTTCATTTCTGTGAAACTTTTTATTTTCCTCAGAGACAAAAACGAAGATGGAAAAGCGGGTTCTGTTATGCTTTAGAAAAAAGTGTTGGCTAGCGTAAATGTAGAGGGATGAAAGAAAAGGAGAAAAGCAGAGTTTCAGGTGCACTTAGAAAAATCCTTATGACTTTTGATGGGTATATTGCACAGAGCTCAGCAACATCTCATTTTAAAGAAAACACCTTTCTCTGCATGAATAGGTGTTTAAAAGGAATTTGGCTGGCCAGCACACAGGTGAACGAGTTTTGAAAATTATACAATGATGAATTAGAATGTCCAGTGGCCAGTCTTAAAAGATCCATAACTTTTGAAAGAAGAGCTAAACAAATAAATCCTCTGGTGGTTAAGACTAGGACATCATATAGTACCTATCGGCAAAAGATCGTCGAAATCGAAGGGTATCAGCTAGGGACCTTCTCTAGTCAGTGGCATATAGAGACGATATGACTTTGAGCAGATAGTAAGCAAAATGGAACTACAAGAGGTGTGCTTTGTAACATGTAACATGTTTTAATGCTTAAAATTTAATTATGTTCTACTACAACCAGAAAAAATTTGAGTATGTTTGATTGCTGCCGCAAGGTGGATAGTAGACAATATTTCTCATTTTCTCGCTGTGAGTCGAAAGGTGAATACATGGCTTGCGAACTGAATCAAAATAAGAAGAAACGGGAATTTGGCGCGAAATAGCACTAATTAACTCTTTATCTTCTCGCCCGTTATTTCACTCCCAAAATCTAAAGGTATATTCAGGTTTTATGAAGGAGTCGCCGCATTAGAAGATTCAGTGCTCTTATTTTGTCCAAAGTGGTAACCCTTTGGAAGCATTGTGATAGTGTGCCCCAATAAAAGCGATTTTTTCCATTTCAGCACTTTCTGCCAATAGTGCTAAATTCAAGATACGAAAAACTTTTGGATTGCATATAGACGTTCGGATGACAGTCGTTTTGCTGGAACCTATTTTCAAACAGTTTTTTACAGAATCTGCTGAAGATTTCAGTGAGTATGCTCATGAGAAGCCTGAGTTCTCAAACATCTACCGTCCAACAAGAGAACAACCGTTTGTATTTGAATAAAAGTAAAAACATGTGTTGGGTGTTTGTTCCGAATTTCAATGGGGGTGTTCTAATCAAAAAGTTAAAATTCAGTGCTTCTGAATAACTACAGTATTAAATAAAAAGCGAAATGGAGCGGAATGTTTTAATTGCGCAAGATCTCGCTCATTTCACCTGATAAATCGAAAACTCGTATTGTCATTCGATTATTGAGATTTTCAGCTACATTATGGTGAAAACGTTTTTAGAAAAAGTTCAAAATAAGATCAGGAGAATAAAATTACTACGTTTGTCGAGTTTTACTTGTCTTATCGAAAGTATATATTAATAATATACTTGAAAATATACGCTTGGTAGGTAAAACAAGACATGTGTATGTTGCGGACAAAGTCCAACTTTGGTCAAGTTTTAAATTTGTCCGGACAAAACTTTAATTTAAGGTCTAACCAGATTTAATTCGGTCAGAATCTAGATAAAAACATAATGCTGTGATGAGCCATGGTGATATTCGTGATCAGCAAGCTCTGACAAATCCGAATATGTATAAAAAATTCAAAAAGAAATTTCACTCGAAGTTTGCTTTATGTGCATCTTAACATTTTTCCTTCGCTCAGCTGTACACGAACTTATGTACACGATCTGTGTTTTTTTCTTTTTGTTCTTACCAATAATAATGGGGAGCTATTCTCCCGTTTAGTGGACACAAACAAATCTTTCTTCTTCTCTTAATTGACCCTTAATAAATAGCTGATAACAACAATTCGCATTTAACATTTTAAAAGACTTTTTAGTTAAAGAAAGTCCTTATTTCTAACAATACAGATCACCACTTTCAAATAAAAACTTTTGTACACGATGGTTCTTCATATCACTCACATATAAATTGTATTTCGAATCAAATGCAATACTCCATGGTTCGTTGAAGTGTTTCGTGTCATCTCCTTGTTCTTCCGTTACTCCAGCGATTGTTTCCATTGTCAATGTATCATCATCTGCTTTTAGCCGTTGAATGCGATGATTATCTTTATCAGATATATATAGATTACCATAGGGATCAAACAGAATGTCGGATGGCCAACCGAGATGAGTGGAATCGGAACCTTTTTCAGCTTTGACGCCAGCTACTGTAAATTTTAATGGCAATTGATCAATTAATTTTTGTATGTAATGTGACTGATAAAAAGCTGCATAGATATCATCACATTCATCAACAAAGAGACCCCAAACAGAGCTGTAATCACTTGCAATGGTCGTTGCAACTTCAAAATTGTTTGAATATTTCGTTAATTTACCTCGATAATTAATTTCTCCAGATACATAAATATCGCCTTGTTTATTACCAAATATTCCATAAGGAGCATAATTCGGATCCAGTGCTGCTACAGTGATACCTTCTCTACTGTTGTTTACAGACCATTTCTGTATTCGACGATTAAGCATATCAGTGACAAATAGATTACCAAGACTATCGATAAAAATATCTTGTGGATAGGAAAGCTGATTACTAGCATTACCTCTTGTATTGCTACCAGCAATTGTGATGCCAACATTTGACCCTTGTACAAATTTCTGTATTCGATGATTAGTATTATCTGTCACGTAAAGATGATCATCTTGATCAATAAATATACCCATCGGTTTGGCTAGTTGAATACTAGACGAGCCAAATGTTCCATTCCCAGCAACTGTAATACCATTTTTATTCCATTTTGGTTTTGTACATGTGATGGTAGGATGTGATGGTGGTCGTAGAAAAGCATGACAGTATCCTAAAAATATGCAACTAGTTTGCAACTAACCAAAAAAATGCAGTTTGAAGTTTTTTTAAAAAGCTTTGGTTAAGAATTGAATGGCCTTCAGTCTTCTTAGTGTGCTGAGCCTATCAAAAATCGAGATTTTGCTAAACAGCTCCGCATTAATGAAAACAGAGCTGAGACCCTTTTTTAGTGTATGTTATAGACGCAAAGAAATGTTCTGTGGAAAAGTTTGAGCTCTTACAGCTTGTTTTTGAAAAATTTTTTACCGAGTCGCAGACTAACAGGAAGTAGTAGTTACTTACAAGGGAACCTTTCTACATGTCCCATTCCGATTCCAATCATTTGTACATGAATCGATAGATCTCAGTGAGATAGCAAATATCCTAAAATGATTCGGGCCCATGACTCTCGAAGGCCCGGTTTTCTGTAAAACTAGTTTTTCGAAAACTCCAAAAAATAACCCAAACCCTTTTTAATGAGGCATTATTGTAGTCTTCAAATTTCTGATTAAAACGAGACATCTCCCAGCGCTACACGACCTTTCTTTACATAGTTATAGAATTTACATGAAAAGCCCTAAATGTTCATTGCCAGCTCAAAGCTACAGAAAAAAGAAGAAATTAATTTAGGGCTTTTCTTGTAAATTCTATAACTTGTCAAAGAAAGGGTCGTGTAGTAGCGCTGGGAGATGTCTTATTTCAGTTAGAAATTTTCGGGCTACAATTATGCCTCATTAAGAACGGTTTTGGTTACTTTTTAGAGTTCTTGAAAAATTGGTTTTCCAGGAAACCGGGTCTTCATCAGTCATGGGCACGAATCCTTTTAGGGTATTTACTATCTCACTGAGGTCTATCAATCCATGTACAAATCATTGGAATCGGATGGAGAGATCTCGAAAGGTTCACCTGTTAGTTTGGCCGCATTCTCCGACGAACAATACATTTACAAGAAGCCACTGATCGCACAAACATTCACTTTTTTAAGACGTACTTTCACATATTTCTTTGTCTAAATTATTGTAATTTTTGCTGTTGCTTCTATACGTTTGATGATACTCGTTAAGACATTGGGCCAAAACTTTATCACATATGCAAACAGAATGTTCACATGTACCATCTGTATTCGTACAGCTAACTGTATTATTATGTAGATAAGAATCATATTCAGTTCCGTATGGATCACACATTGATGATGATGATTTTCGTTTATAGCAGTTGTAATGTCGATGACAACATGCGTCTATATCGTCAACAATTTCACCATCTTTTTGTCTGTTTAGCACATTGCACCTGTAAAAGAAGAAGTCACAAAAAAATACACTAGCCGAACTTCTTCAGCAGCAAGAAAGCAAATTCTAGTGACAGTATTGACTCAAGAAAATCGACTAGCGTATGTTTTCATAAAAAGAATTATACGTATGAAATATAACACTTCTCGCTTCACTTAACAGACTGGTTATAAGTACTTCATCACCGCATTAAACTAACTGATGTTTAGGTCTGTCGCCAGTACTTACCAACATCCATATGACTCATAATCAGAGCCTGATGTAGGACGTGGAAACTGATTTTTTGTCAAATAAACAATCATCTCATTAAGTTGAGAAGAATATGCTGTTGTACGGACAACAGCATCATTAACGGTTAATGCAGTTAAGAGAATGTAGATGGATAATCCACAAGAGGCCATTTTCTGTTGAAAATGAAGAACAAGTCTGGATATGAATAACACAATCTACTTGTACTTGATCAATCTAAATTTATTTGAAGTAAAAGAAAAAAGAAAAAAGGAAATAAATATATTTTATAAGTTTAAAAGTGTAGTAAGTAATGATAGTGTTTGTTCTGTGCTTCATTTACTGCGTGCGAATAACATATTGATTATTTCTCATCAATCTCGACACATTTTGTATGAAAATCAATGAGAGTACAAAGGATACTTAAAATATCACTTAGTTCGAGAAATGGTATTATATTCTAGCTCTGGTAAATGAATTATATTTATATTTATTTTTAACGAAAAAAACCATCGTTTCAGAAACGGACACCATCACCTTGACGCTTGTGGAACTCTTAATTTCTGTACCTCTGAATTTATTTCAACTGTTGAGTCTTTTTCCAATACATTGAGATCAGATTTATTCGAAAACTGTAGTGAACTGCTTATAGAAAGTTTTGAACTTTGAAGATCTATTCAAAAAAGAAATTAACTTTGAATTGTAGATAGAATTGTGATAAAGACATTACCCGGCTAAAATCAACTGTTCAAAAAGCGTTTCTTACATATAAACGCCTTTAATTCGTTCTTACAGTAGCGACGAACAGTGCATACTTTTGATGTTTTCGTTGTACATAATATCGAAAGAATGACGTAGTTTTTATTTTCAGTTTTTCTTCACTCCATTTGAATTCACAGAGTTCGTTTTTTACCAATCTTCGTTCATTTTGTACGACACTGTGTATTGTATTCATCAAATATAATCGTCCTTGTTTTTTAAAACAAGGCGCAACCCTACAATAAAGTTTCATACAGAATGTAAAACATTTTGGACTGGCATCTTTTTCGCAGCCAGTTTTAATTTCGAATCAGGGTGACTTTAGCCCGTACGTCACTCCCCGAATGAGTTCGTTCCAGATACTGTAATCCAATGTGTTTAAATCTGGTGAATTCGGTGGCGACCGATACCTGGGCACAAATGCAGGCATATTGTCGGCACACCATTGAATTTTTCGAAATGATACTGCACCATTTAAATCATGGAAGATCTTTGTTGCGCCTTCACCATTTTCATGTGTAAGGTCACGACATTCCGGAGATCTTTGCTATCATTTTTTTAACAACTGTCTGAAATTCTTTAAAAGCATGCGGCACACAGTTTTGTAGGGAAATGAACGGATATTCTTTTGGTAAAAAATAAACTCTGTGAGTTCAAAGGGAGAGGAGAAAATTCAAATAAACACTATGCCATTCTTTCTGTAACACCCGATATATACCATTCGACAGACAATTTCACGAGCTACAAAATGTTATGTAAAATATTGAGAGGAAAATGTAACTGGATCGTCTAATATCAGAAATACTCAGTAGCATCTCAAGAAATTGGTAGGTCAAAAAGAAAAATTAGTTCTTGTGTTAAATTTTTCCTTGTTTTAAAAATGTAGAGAAAAGCGGGTTTTAAGAAAATAGCGTTTTTGAGGCTGTTTTCGCCTAATCTAAAAAAATTCACTCAAAAACATTAAAACGAGTTCAAAACGTCACAATGTATTTAGGCTATTCTATATCCAGTTCATAGAAGATCTACAAAGATATTTTTATAAAACTCCCTTTGAAGGGATTTCTGGAAAACGCAGTATCGAAAATTTGCTCTTCGATTTTTTGATCGCCTAATCAGGTTTAGCGGACTAAATTAAGCATGCTCGGCAGTTTCGAACTCGCTCTGAACTTTTCTGAGGGAATAGTTAATTTTTAAATATTACATGAAAACAGTCTGAAAACCCTAATTTTTAATATCAATAAAGGGCAACGATTTTAAAATTCAATATGACATAATAATTGCAGCTATTTCCGACTTCAACTTTTTACTTTAATTATAATTTTCTGTGGAATTTGTGATCAGCAACGGCCATTATCAACACAAAAATTCCTTGTTGGTTAGTCCTTAATTAAATGAAAAATTATTATTAGTTCAGATGAACGTATTCTTTTCTTGTGTTTTCTTGTGTTTCTCTGTATAGCTTTAATATTAAATTAATAAATATTATTAGAAATATGTACCCCGTTAAGTCACACTGGACTTACTTGATGTACGATCTAAGACTAATATACAACTGATTAAAAATCGGACTTGCATTGCTCTTTATTGCGAAGTGAAAAACTCATATAGAATACTTTTTATTGGAGCTGGTCAAGAGAAATTCCTCCGAAAATTTTTTGGACTTTTAAATCCGGATAAAATTGCATCCGGGTTGAGTTGCACGGGTGAGTAGGATTTCTGGATAAAAAGTCTTCCCGGACTTAAAAACATACGGATTTTAAAAATCTGGATTTCATGACACTCCACGGACAGAGAGCTTCTCGACGAACCCATTCCAGAGCGATCAACTGTTTTTTCGTCTTTCTACTACGCACTTTGAAAATATCACAGCTAAGAGAAAATCTCGTCAGTCAAGTGAATACAGATTCTGAAAGCGCTGAAAATGCTCTACAACATAGACTATTTCACTTATCCCATATACCCCCTTCTTCGACTTAAAATTGCAAGTCAATGAACATGAGTAACATTTACAAGTAGAAAAATTCACACTTTTCTTGCTCTTTCCCTGTTAATTATCATTCTTGATAAATGAACTGGCTGAACAAGAATGAGACAGCTTTGTAGGCTTTGAAGTCCTCTCTCGAAATCCCATTTATCCCTCATCATCAGTGCGTTACTAATAAATCGAATGATTCGTAAGCTGCGACATCTCTTTCCTCCATCCAATAAGTAGAAAAACACAACAATCACCGTTTAGTTCATTCTTCTCTGTTATATCCAAGTGGTTCACTGATTGAACACGTGTATAACACGCTTGTGTGCGTCTCACATGTATCTGTAAACAATTCCAGACCGCGAATGGACGCCCATCTGGACATTGGTGAACGTTGGTGAGTGATTTCTATGAAATTAGATTAATGTATGAGCACACGTCAGATAGCAACTATCATCAAGTGTTCAACGCAGGCTGTTTACAACATCCTCAATCTGTTTCGAGAAACAGACTATGTAGTCGTAAGAAGAGGATGTGGTGGCAGAAATTCATTAACTACTGAAGAACGTCGTGTGTTACGACAACTGTTTTATAACTACCGCGATGAAACATCGGCTCGAATTAACGATCGCTTTTCTCGAAGAACCGGACGTTCTATCAGCTCTCGAACAATAAGAAACTATCGTAGATCTCTCGCATTCTATCCAGTCCATGTTCGAACACAACCACTCATCAATATTGGCCATGCTGAACAGAGATTATTTTTCTCGCAACAACATATTGATGACGATTGGTCCCGAATAATCTTTTCCGATGAAAAAGCTTTTAAGGTTGACGTTTCGGAATCGTTTATTGGATTCCTTATGGTCGACGACGGCCGACATCGTTTACGAGCCAAGTACAATTTCGCATCGCGGTGTTTGGCGCTGTTTGGTACAACAGTAAATCTGATTTAGTTCTTATTCGAGGTCGAACATTTACCGCAACGTTTGTGGAATATCTCAAAGCTGCGTTTCATCTACACCGCCGGTCGGTAAAAAATTATTCTTTCATACATGATCGTCCTAGATGGGCGCACACGTCATCAGCACATTCCTGGCTATTCGCAAATGATACACAGTGGGCAATCACGTGGACATTAGGTGGAAAAATGAAAGTGAGATTTTTTGAGATATGAATAATGCCCAATATACTTTAGCTAATGACGAATTTTTTATCCAAAAATGTTTTTCTAACTCTCTAACTTACTTGAAAAACCTAGGACCTGAAAAAGGTCGGATTTTAGCTATCTTTTAGAAAAATGCATTTTTTCATAGAAGGTAGAAAGAGTGAAGGAAGAGTG